TGGTATGTGGTGCTGAGGATGGAACCCGGGCCGCACGCATGCCAGGCGAGCGCGCTACCGCTTGAGCCACATCCCCAGCCCACAACTTTCTTTCTCATTACCTGGCAGATATAACTAACTGTAGCTCTCACACTCTTCCTCTAGGCAGAGCAAGATGCTTTACACTCTGGCCACTGTTTCATAAGTCTTGAAGAGATTATAGCTGGTCACTTAGCAAGTACACCTACCTACCTACTCAGGACATTTCCATCCAGCTGTACTGTAGATAGTCAGAATAGCTCATCAGAAGAAGGGAGACAGACTTTATCTGTTGATTGCTTTCTATATTCTGTCTCCCACTGGTTAAAATTTACCATGAAGAGACCTTCCCTCACCTTGCCCACTTCCTGGTTGCATCAGCAAATGTATCTTCAGTGAAAGGGGAAGAAGGATCCTGTGGTTCTGCAGTGTGGCACTTCATTTGAACCTGGAAGTTGTGGTCTGGCCTGAGGAGATGGACCCACAGGAGCCCACACAGAATCACGACAGTGGCATGTGAAGCAGAGTGAGTAAATCTACAAGAACCTGAGGAGGAGCAAACGATGTGTCTAACACATAATTACCAGCAATATCTGAATAATCTTCCAGTTCCATCTTCTCCTGTCCTCTGCCCAGAGGTTTCCCTCCCAGAGACCTATTTTGTTTCAGTCTGGACAATTTGCTAGCAAGGTCTCTTGCACTCTAGGGCTGCCCCAGCACTTTTTACTACCCTCCTGGGAAATAGCTACTGTTTTATGGATGCCACTTTTTCTTTTCCTCCTTCCCTTCCTCCCTCCCTGCTTCCTTCCTTCCTTTATTGTGGTGCTGGGAATCAGACCAGGGCCTTTCATGTGCTAGGCACACACTCTACCATGAGCTACACCCCCAGCCTCTGACTTTTTCTATTTTGCTTTACTGTATTACCTCATTTGACAGGAGCATATCTTTCAAGAGTTTTTTGTTTGTTAGTTTTTTGTTTTTTGCCTTTTAAAGAAAAGATGCCTAAGAGATGAATCTTTTGAGAAATTACATGTTCAAAAGAACCATTATTCATCCATACATTCAGTTGAAAATTTTAGTGGAAAATGGAATTTTAGGTTGAAAAGAATTTTTCTTCAAAATTTAGAAAATTATTCCTTTTTTCTTTTAGCATTCTGTGAGAAATTTAATATTGATAGGTCAGGGCTCGGGTTGGGGCTCAGTGGTAGAGCATTGCCTAGCATGCGTGAGGCACTGGTTTGATCCTCAGCACCACATAAAAATAAATAAAAAATAATGATAAAATAAAGATATTATGCCTACCTATAACTAAAAAATAAATATTAAAATAAAATAAAGGTATCATGTCCATCTACAGCTAAAAAAATTAAAAAAAAATATTGATAAGAAGGCTGAAAATCAGCAACATGAATATAAACACCAAAATTAAAAAGCTTGATGCTTGACGTTTTGCATATATAGATTTTTATATTTAACAATTTAAGAATATACATTTTCTCACATATACATGGAATATCTGTAAAATATGAAAAAATCAGGACAGGAGAAGATAGAACTGGAAGGTTATTCAGTTATTGCTGGTAATTGTGTGTTAGACACATCAATAAGTTTCAAAAATAAAGAATGATCTTTCTCTGTAACAGTGAAATTATACATTAATATAAAAAGATAATTTTTTAAAATTCCCCATGTATTTTGAAAATTTAAAAACACACTGTTAATACAAATTTAGGATACCTAGAACTGAATAATAATGAAAACCCTACAGAGCAATGTTTCGGGGATGCAGCAAAGGTGATATTTTGAATAAAAAATATACTGTACACATACACACTCCCAGAAAGTTTTAAAATGGATAAGCTAAGTCCCATTTTATGAAGTTATAAAATGAAGAAAATAAAAGAAAAATTAAGTATGTAGAAAAAAATGGATTTCCATGTACATAGGAAAGACCTGGTGGGATTTGGTGATTTAAACTCCATCAATTTTGTTAGCAAGGATGTCTTTATAATTAAGAATCTTCTAGTTCATGACCATGGTGTAGCTCACCTTTTATGTGATGCTTCTTTAACCTCTCTCAATTACATTTTATGGTTTTTCAGTGTGGAAGTCTTCCACAAATTTCGTTGCTTTTATCTCTGAGAGTTTAATGGTTCTCTTGATGCCATTATAAATAGTATACTCTTTTAATTTCATTTTCTTTTTATTGGTTACCAGCCTATAAAAATAAAATAATTTTTTGTAAAAAAATGATAAAATTTAGAGTATTACCAATTTTTAACTCCTAATGAATTGACACATCTGGACACTGGACATCAACAGCTGTTAATATCATAAAAGCAGAAACAAAATGATATGCAGACATTATGAGCTTCTGATAAAAGAACATAAAGTGATCTAACATGAATCATCAAGCCTCTGGGTCCAGCTGCCAATTTTTAGAAAACACATAGAACTGAGAAGGATGTTGATTTTCCTGGTGAGAATGCAATCAGCAAACTTGGATTGTGCCTGATGCTCTATGTGGATCCACATATGGGTTCCTCAGCACGGCAACTCCAAGGAAAAGAAGTGGGTGAAGGGCAAACCTGTGGATTAAGTGAGGTTTAGGAGACACAAGTTTTGTTTTTAATAGGCTGAGACATCCAAAAATCTACCCTGGATTCAGACTTTAAGAAGTGATTGCTGTAAAAATCAAGAGAGTTGTTCCTATTTGGGAAATGGAGGAGGTTAAGGCTGGGACAAGACTGAAGGAGCTGCTTTAGTGGTGGGTAGAGTTGTAAACCAGGTGGCAGATACATGGCTGTTTACCTTATAACAACTGATTAAATTCTGAGCAATACATCTTTTGGGGTGGCTTTTCTGTATCTTAATTTTCTTTTATGGCCTAGAGTTTTAAGAGGTGTCTGTGATCTGAACTCAAGAGCAAGAGAATTAGTGGACAGAGAGGAGAAAAGAAAGAAGCATATATATTTTTTAAACATTTGATTACTGTAGAATAGGCTCTGTAATAGGGCATTTCATTGATGTTATCTTGAATACTAATTATCCTGGTTTTATAAAGTCTAATTATTAGAGGTTCAATAACTTGTGCATGGTAAGGAGAAGCAGGGCAGGAATTTAAGCCCAAATCTTTTTTGGTTTCAAAGTGGATTTTCTATGTCCTTCACTGGTATTGGCAAGAAGAAGTGTGACTGCTACATTAGTTTCTCCTTAAACCCAGTGTCTGTAGTAGGCATTCTACAGTTAGTTTCCTTCTAAAAAGTTGTATGCTCAATGTGTATCAAAATCTATGGAAACATTAAAGTTGACCTCATATCCACAGGAACCTATCCGCATTTGGTTCACTCTGTGGATGCAGAATCTACAGATAGAGGGCTGACTTAAGAAACTTGAATGTCTGAGGATTTGGGTATCTGCAAGAGTCCTGAAACCATGTTGATACTGAGGGTTGACTTGTATATTAAAATTTTATCCCCAACTGATCTCTGTAAAGGACCGATCATGTTCTTTATTCTAACAGAAAAAAGTAATAGTTCTAAGAAGACAACATCAGATATTAAAATATAGTGACACCTGTAAATCTTACGTTTTTTAAAAATAGTTCTTCTATTGAAATATGAACGAAGGTATTTTACATGAGTTTCAAATAAAATCCAGTAGCTGAGCAATACCAGAACAATCTCAAAGATACAGACATATATGCTACAGGAAGGGATTGTATTTTCTCTCCTCTAATATGGTATTGACTTTATCCCTGAACGCTAAGTTGACTTAAGATTCAAAGTGTTTTTTCTTGGATTGTAGCTTGATTTTGGAAAGTTAACTTTCTGCTTAATAGTTTGGTATTGATGAGCTTTTGTCATATTTATTTTTTAGTTTTTGGTGGACACAACATCTTTATTTTTATTTTTATGTAGTGCTGAGGATCGAACCCAGCGCCCTACGCATGCCAGGCGAGCACGCTACCACTTGAGCCACATCCCCAGCCCAAATCCTTATCCTTTTAAAATATTTCTACTTATTTCTTTTTTGTGTGTGAATTTATCATCTATAATGTGTTTAAGGACTGATCTATATAATAACTTTTAACGACATTGTAGATATCAGTGGGCCATTTGGAGGTTGATTTAGTAGACTATTTGCATATTTTTAAAGTAATAGATTTCTGATGTAATTTGAAGATCCTGACAGTTCAGCATAAATACATTTTCTTTCCCACAAATTAATGATCTCTTTAATCATAGTAGATGACTTCTGATGATTCCCAGCCGCATTGTAAAAGACATTACATTCAAATGTGCTGTTATACTGTTCATATATATAAGACTAAAAAAGGACTCAGAATTCAGGTGTTTTTTCCCAAGTGAGTGTCAGTTATTCCAGTCATTAACTTTTCTATGTTTGCATGGTGTGAGATAACAGTAATTTACTTCTTTTCCTGACAAGTGATTGTTCCATTGCTGAAGCAGACTGTTCCTTTCAGAGCTGGACAGTTTGCCTCAATTATTTCCATTTACTTTGAAATCAGCCCTCCTGATAACAATAAGCACTAGCATGTCAAAATGGCTCTGAATAAGATAAAAGCACCGGAGAAGGGAACTATGAAGGTGCTGGAGGGGAAAAAGGAGGGGGAATAAGCACAGAAAAACCCAGAAAGGAGCATGGTGCTAGAGTTGTATTTGAAATTTTGCTTTTCCTGACCCACTTGCAGGATTCTGCTGGAGCATCACTGCAGTGCTGAGAATGGCTTGAAAGGAGAACCCACCTGTCTGTACCACCACTCCTGGGGCCCTGAGAGTCCCTGCTCATTCCAGTCTAGGCAGGTCTCAGCTGCTTCTCATATTACAAAACCAACTAGTGATGCATTTGAGCTCCACATTTCCACCAAATTAGAAGAGCTGTTAACTGATTTTTATTCCAAAGGCTGGGTTCTTTATTCCTCTTGGAATTGTGGAACCAATAAGAAAACTGATCATCTGTTGAACAGTGAAGGAAATGTTTATTTTTGGGGAAGTGAAACTCAACAATTAACTTTCTGCATCTTGGATACAGAGTGAAGGAAATGAGGGGAGGAGGCTAATAAAGAGAAGGAATGTTTCTGTCTTTTATGATGATGAGTTAGAGTTTTCTGGTGTCACTCTGGCAGTCATCAGTCAGTTTCAGTGACACTCCTTGAAGAGGGACTCCTGGACTTCAGACATCCTGTCCTCAAAGATAAGCAAAATTAGGGTAGAAATTCAGCTAAGTCATCTAGGCAGATTACAGCAGAGTAACAGAGAGATCCTTATTTTTTTGCCCCAAGACTGGATCCCGCCACTGAGATGTCTCTAAATCTACCTCTCTGATTATATACATCCCAAGGAATATCTTGCCAGATTGATTCCTCAAGAGAAACTGAAGGATGACAATGCAAGCAGCAAGTATCAATCAGCTCCAGGGTGTAAAGAGCTTGGAAGGCATTGTTCTAGCTAACGCAAGGAAAGCTGAACAAAATGAAAATCATTTTGTTGATTGGCTGGAGGCTGGGTGTGGACTGGCTTGAGAGTAAGAAACTCCTGGCCTTACTTTTCAGAGCAGCTTCACACTTGCAGGGGTTTTACTCCCAGGGTCTCCACCAAGTTCTCATTGTGAAGAGACAACAAAGATCCCATATTGATTTTGGTAGGAAAAGAGAAACAACTACCATTATGACATAGGCCCAGAATTTTCTCTATGACAAACTGACTCTCCAGGGGATGAGACCTCACCAGAACCTTTTCCCACGTAGGGAAGAACATTTCTCTGATTTCCAGAGCCCTCTAGTCTATCTCATCTAAAGTGGGGAAGGAGATGAAACAGAAATACTTGTGAAGGTCACAGACCAGCAACAGCAACACCACCCTCCAAAATCTGAGATTTACTTTTAAGTGTATAAAATGCTTCCTTTCCCTTCATCTCATCACCACAGCAATAACACTCCAGAATAATTGTTGGGTTACAGCCAAAATTATAACACACAGGTTCTATCTAAGGGGGAGGTTCAGGAGATCTCAGGGGAGACATAAACAGGGACACTAGAGGAATCTACAAGCTTTAGCACTTACTGCTATAGCACACAACACAACCGGACAATATAAAACTGTACATTTCAGGCCTATTTACTCTAGTTCCTGTTCCCAGTGTGTCACATCTGGGTTAAATAAACAAACAAAATTATAAGTCATGCTAAAAGGAATAAAAAGTAGTCTGAAGTGTCTCCAAAACAAGCATCAGAACCAGACTTAGAGATGACACAGATTTTTGGAATTATTAGGCAGGAAATTTAAATTAACCTACTCATGGTAAAGGTCCTAGTAGAAAAAGTAACTAACATGAGAGAATGGATGGATAATGTATGTGGAGGGATGGAAGTTGTAGGAAAAAAACAGAAAGGAAATGCTAGAATTAAAAAAAAAAACACTGTATTAGAGCTGGGGTTATAGCTCCGTGGTAAAGCACTTGCTTAGCATATCTGAGGCACTGGGTTCAATCCTCAGCACCACATAAAAATAAATAAATAAGTAAATAAATAAATCAATATATTGTGTCCATCTACGACTCAAAAAATATTTTTAAAACACTGTACTAAATGGTGAGTATCTTGAATATGCTATTAGTTGGATGGACACAGCTGAGGAAAGAGTAGGCTTCAAGATGTATCGGTAGTGACTTCTCAGACAGAAATACAAAAGAGAAAAGAGTTTCATACAACAACGGCATATCCAAGAATTGTGAGGGATTTTTAGCAGGGATAATGTGTAGTTAGAATATCAGAAAATGAAGAAAAAGAGAACAGAAAAAATCTTTGCAGATGTTTGAAGACCAGGAATGGACAAAATGCAACATCCATTCATGATAAACACTCAGAGACTAGAAATAGATGTGAATTTTCTCAGCTTGATAAAGAACATCTTAGGGAGAAAAAACCCACAGCAAACATTGTACATCATGGTGAAAACCCACATTTTGCTCCTAAGATTGGAAATAAGTCAAAGATATTTTTCTCACTGCTTTTGTTCAACATTGTATTCAGTAACTCAGGTAGTGCAGTTAGATAAGAAAAAGAAAGAACAGGTATTGTAAAGGATGAAATAAAACTGTCCACAGATGACATGATTATCTATGAAGAAAATCACTAAGAAAAGACAGAAAAAATAAAAACCTAGACCTAATAAGTAGAGCAAGGTTACACAGTGCAGAGCTAACATATAAAAGTCAGTTGTTTTCCTGTGTACCAGCAATGAACAATTGGATCTTGAAATTAAAAAAAAAAAACAACCCACCATTTACAAGCAGGGAAGGTATGAATCTAACAAAAACATGTACAGGATCATTAAGCAGAAAACTACAAAACTCTGAAGAACAAAGTAAAAATATAAATAAATAAGAGAAAGATTCTTTATTCCTGTATCAGAAGACTCACTATTATTAAGATATCACTTCTTCCCAGCTTGCTCTATACATGGAATCCCAATCAAAATCCCAGCAGGCTATTTCTGGAGAGACCAGCAAACTCATTCTACAGTTTATGTGGAAAGTCACAGCCCTTCAACACAATATTGAAGAACAAGGGGAGGATTCACACAACCTTACTTCAAGGCTTATTGTAAAGTAATAGTAATCAAGGGAGTGGTACTGGTGAAGGTGTAGACAAATAGATCAATGGAACAGAATAGAAAGCCCAGAAATAGACCCATACAAATATAGTAAATTGATCTTTGACAAAAGGCCAAAGACAATTAAATGGAGAAAGGCAGTCTTTTCAACAAATATATTTCCACCTACAAAATGGTGAACCTAGACACAGACTTTATACCTAGACAAAAATGAACTCAAAATGGGCCATAAACTGAAACTACATCAGGAAGTTCAGGAGCTCTGTTTCAGAATCTCAAATACAAACTGATAAACCTATAAGAAAACACAGGAGGAAATATAGGTGACCTAGGGTTTGTCAGTAAATTTTTAGATAAAACTTCAATAGTATAAACCATGAAAGAAAAAAAAAGATAAATTGAGCTTCGTTAAATTTTTCTGCTCCATGAAAGGCACTATTGGGAGAATCCAGGGTTGGGGCTGTAGCTCAGTGGCAGATCATTTCACACCCAGTGTGAAGCACTGGGTTTGATCCTCAGCACCACATATAAATAAATAAATAAAAATAAAGATCCATTGACAACTGAAAAAATTAAAAAAAAAAAGAGAATCTAACCATAAGACACAGACTGGGAGAAAATATTTGCAAGACACGTGTATCTGATAAAGGGACTGTATCCAAATAAACAAAGAACTCGTAAGATTCAATAAAATGTGTAGACTTTGGAAGACAGTTTGGCAGTTTCAGACAAAGCTAAACATAATCTTACCATATGATTCAGCGTTCATACTCTTAAGTATTTACCCAAATGATTCAAAAACATATGCCTAGAGGAAAACCTGTATGCAAATGTTTATAGTAACTTTATTCACAATGGACAAAAACTGGAAGCAACCAAGATGTCCCTCAGTAGGTGAATGGATAAACAAACTGTGGAAATACAATGGAATGTTATTCAGTAATTAAAATAAGCTATTGAGCCACATAAAGATACAGATGAATCTTAAATGTATATTGCCAAGTTTAAGAAGCCAATCTGAAAAAGCTGCAAGCTATCCTAATTATGTGATAATTTTGAAAAAGGCAAAAGTATAGTGACTTAAAAAGATCAGTGGTTGAAAAGAGGATGGGGGAGGGGAACAAGAAATGAAAACAAAGTCCGTGCATATATGAGTTTGTCAAAATGAACCCAGCTACTGTGCATAACTATAATACTCTAAAGCAAAAAAAATATCAGTGGTTGCTAGGAGGGGAGGTCTTGAATAAGGTGAGTGAAGCACAGGGAATTCTGGGGATAGTGAAACTGTATGATACTAAAACTATGACACTATGCATTTGTCAAAATCTACAGAATTCAACAGCACAAACCATTATGTTTGAAAATTTCAAAAGACTCACTTAGGAGGGCAGGTGATTCCAGGACAGAATTCAGGATGTGACACAGTTCCAAATGTATGAAACATACTCTCTAACATCAGGGGGAAAGGTGCTGACTTCATTGACCATGGAAATGAGAAGATTCTGTAAGACTAAAGACAAAAGAAACTATAAAAGTGCACTTTCTCCTGATGGATAATTTGTATCCCATGGGGATATGGATTAAAATTTCTGATACTTCTGCACATAAATACTGAAGCTGAACAGTCAAGTAAATGGCTGGCAAATAGTGGGAGCCAGGTTTCTCACTGCTGGAGTTAGAATTTACAGATAAGCCTGGGAAGGAAGCTAGAATAACCCACTTAGTAATGGATTAGAACATCCATAAGAACTCATGCTCACCTTATGTATAGATAGTTACATACAGAAATCTATTACGTTGATTGGGGTGTGTCAAAGGAGTGTAGAAGTCAATTTAAAGGGTTCATAGTGGCCAAAGCTGGAATAATTTGAGCAAGAAAATAAAGTAGTGTTGGGTTATAATTAAAAAATATTTGATAACTGTCCATGGGTCAATACTGATATAAATAAATGATTAAAAAATTAAATAGGAATATGGAAAATTGTGCTCTATTTATGTAATAAGAATTGAATACATTCTGCTGTTGTACATAAATAAAAAATAAAAAAGAATTAAATAGGAGAGAAAAAACTCCCATGTAATATAATTACCAATAATTTATGTAGATGCTCTGCACCAAGGAAATGGAACACTGTACTCCGTAAGTATCAGCTGTGCTTAGTGACTCCTTCCAAAGATTACAGCATGGAAAGAGGGAAGAAAGAGTCACTTGATAGTGGAAAAACACAAACAGTGCTTCACTCAGGTTATTGAGGTCATCATCCACAGTGAGAAGTCATGTTGGTAGAACATACCTTTGACATTATGTGCCTAAAATAACATTTTTCTTCTGTTGTCTTCCTTCCCCCAAACATATCTCAAGTCTAAAGAAAAATATGGCACAAAGCCCAATTGAAGGGCATGGGCATTCTATAAAATGCCTGGTCAGTACTTATTAAATAATAACTAAGGTTATCAAAAACAGGGAAAAATCTGAGAAACTGTCAAGAGGAGTGGACATGAGGATTCAATGTAGGGTGTTGTCATATAGGAACCTGGAACAGAAAAGGGCCATTAGGTGAAAACTAATGAAATCTAAAACATATATATATAGACACACACACAATTTCATCAATATTAAAAACTTCCACTTAAATTACACATCAGTAAAATTTAAAGATTTCATAGGATGGGGAACAAAAAAAGTAAGTCACATAGCTGAGAAGGTTGTAGTTTCCAAAATATATTAAGAGCACTTACAACCCAACACTAAGAAGACAAGCCAGTTTTTAAAAAGGCAAAGGATTTGAGTAGACATTTTTTCAAAGAATATGTACAGATGGTCAATAGTACATAAAAGATGCTCAAAATCAGTAGTCATAAGGGAGAAAATATAAACCAAAGCCATAATGAGATATAACTCCACACCCACAAGGACAACTATAACAAAAAGACAATAACAGGTGTTGGTGAGAGAGTGGAGAAATTGGAATATTTATAAACCCTGGTGGGAAGGTAAAAATGGTTTGATTG